GACTGACTGACTGACGGACTGACTGACTGACCTCAGACTGACTGACTGACTGACCTCAGACTGACTGACTGACTGACTGACTGACCGACTGACCCACTGACTGACTGACTGACTGACCGACCGACCGACTGCAAATAGACAAAAATTGTTGTCTGTTTCAGTTACCTTTGGATTCTTGGTATTTTAGTCTTCTTTCTAGCAATGTGATTCGGGATTCGTCGTCTTTGACTATGGAAATAAAACAAATGAAAACGAAATGTTAAATCCCTGTTATGAGTCCTGGGCTTTTAATTATTTTTTTTAAAGGYTTTTTTGATGTTCTTATAACCGGAAAGGCTCATAGTCGGAGAGGGCGGGAGGGGAGGGGAGGGGGTGGCTTATAACTGGAAACACATTTGCGTAAGCAGAAATTTTACGCCAATTCAAAAGTAGTTCGTATTGTTGAAGTTATGCATTCTTAACTTTAATTTCCACAGCGGTGTTTGTGAATATTTGGACACTGAATCAAGGAACACAGCGGTATTTCAGTTAGAATTACGATTTTTTTCTTCATCAGCGAAAACAAAACCGAGGAATGATATTGATCTATTGATATTGACTATTTGGTTTTAAATAACGTTGTTTAAAGTTACCTTTGTCATTGCCGCGTCTACCAAAGTCTGTATTCACGAGGGTATTATAGTTATAAACAAGGATAATTATGAATAGCAATGAGAAACAGAATATCAGTCGCGTCACTATCCAGATTGGCAGGGCAGGTGGCGTTCGTTTCATTGCTTCAGGCTATGGGCACGTAACATCGGGACACAGGAAGTTAAAACCATATTTTTTAGTACATAAAGATCTAAAATAAATAAATAAATGATGATTGTTACTTATTTACCAGTCTCACAACCTGCCTTCCTAAATACCTTCTGACTGACCAAGAAAGAACTACAGTACATTCACATTAACCAACCTCACCTACCTAATTACCCATTTAACCCAACTGATCGAATGACTGACCTACATATACCTACAAACTGAATTCATCAGTCTTAATATTTACACCAATCTGCTTAGCAACTGACTGGTTGAACTAAAAAAATCTCTTTTTACCATGACTTGGAAATTTCTCGAGAGCTGATTGGCTTAGACCCTTAGTCGATTAGAGGCTAGACCTGCTTGTGCTTTTGACATCTGTCACGCGCACTGAGCGAGCGGTTTAAACGGCTTTTTCAAACTATTTACTTGTCTTTTTGTTCAATTTTTTCGACTTTGTTATGGTAAAAAACAAATCGAAAACTTAATTCGATTTGTTAAACCTACTGATTTCATCAGTCTTAATAAATATACCAATCTGCTTAGCAACTGCTTGGCTGAACTAATTTAACATATATATCTACCAACTGACCTTATCAGTATTAATAAATACAGCAATCTGCTTAGCAACTGCTTGGCTGAACTAATTTAACATATATCTACTAACTTAGAAACAGTACCATAAATACCTGTCTTTTATAAATCATCAGTTACTCCAGATAAGTCCAATCTTTTACTCATCAGCAAGAAACAGGACTGTCAACCTACGAAAATAAATAAAGCATACATAAGTTGTATTATAAGCTTATAAAAAAGTTTGGAAAATGCATGAATAAGTAATAAGGGTCCAAGCCAATCCAGATTTAGAAATCAGCTAGGTGACATGAATAACATGTAAACCTTATACAAACTTTACACTGAAAATGCTAATTAGATACAACCACTAGTGGATGTATACTGTTCTGACACAGCACTAGTAGTTGTATCTAATTAGCATATGAATATTCAAAATGTTTAAAAGGATTTATAAATTATTAGTGAATTTCACAAGTTGTTTACGATATGAGCATCCGTGTTGGATTGGCCATACAATCACTTGCCTCTGGCTCCTGGTTGTATAGCTGATACAACACAGCTTGCCCATATCGTAAACATTACATAAAAGCCCATTTCTTACCAAACATCAGAACACAAACCCTTCACTAAACCTGTATGCCTGTTCTTAACCAACTGATACAAACCCATATTCCCTGCCTTTAACCAACTAATACCTGACAAGCATGTAGCTAGTCCCAATGAGTCAATACAAACATTAAAAATGTATACTATGTAATATACCGCAAAATGAATAAATGGTGAGAAAGCGAAAAATATTTTTTTAAATATTTAGATGCTAAAAGCCTGGTATGTTTTATTTTGACTCATTCAATTTCAAATTACAACACATTAAGAATTTATGAAAAACTATATAATGCAGCAAGTAAAAACTTTAATTTATAGTTATGTAAATATTGTCTAATTTTATTGTTTTGTTAAGGGACCCTTCTCAAAATTGTTTTGAATGCGAGGATAACCCGGAAATACAAAAGAAATGCCATAAATTCCATGGGGAAAAAGTGTAATCTTCTGTAAGGCCTGTAGTATTGAATCCACGATACTTTAGAGAAGGGCCCATAAGTAGTAGCGTGTTTAAAATCAGTCACACAACCACACCATAGTTTTTTCATACGGCGTGACAGAATTATTTGGCGCCATTTTCCTTGATAGATACAGTAATACCCTTATAAACTTCCAAAAATAATCATTAGTGCAATTTAAGACTTCCTTGTGTAAGCAATTATAAGACTTCGTATGTCTAGCAAAGATTTCATCTCAAATTTGAAGACCTAGAAGCCTCGCTCAGCTTCAACTTCATACGACCCGTGTCAAAATCGTTGTTTGTCATACAGCTTTAAATAGGGGCTAAACAGCTAGAAGCGTATACCTAGCAATGTTACGTTTATTTTTATTTAAGTACAACTTCACTAAGATAAGTGAACAAGTAGGGCTGCACAGCTACACAAATATTAGTTTCATGATTTTGTGAGCGAACATAATCAACGTACCAAATCACACATCAGAACACGAACACATGAAACCGTTAAATCAAGCACGACAACCCAAATAATATTACTTCAACTAATTTTACCTTAAAGTTGACTCAGAAACAGATTTTCGCTGTTAAAAGTGTCATACAAGAGGATATTTTTGAGGAAATTCATGACTTCGTGTTATTCGAGTTCTTCAGTCCTAATGCTCATTTGTATGTGTCACGCACACTTTGTGATGTTTTGATATTGTGTTACGCTATGTTTGGCTGAGAATAATCACTCTCCAGGGGTGGGTAAGGGAACATAAAATTCAAAATTTAGCGTCTTATAATCAAATCGTCAGATAATAATTTCAGAGATAGCAATTTCAGAGATAGCAATTTCAGAGATAGCAATTTCAGCGATGGTAATTTCAGATATAAAACTTATTATGCAATGACATCAGTCTTTGCTTCGTCTCCTTTAATTAGATCGATTCGTATGCCGATTGCGAACTCCGTTATAGTCCCTATGTATTGGTAAGTAAAAGTCATTCAATGAATTTAAATATTGTATCATATGAGCTCTATTATAGGGTGGTCTGCATGCATTTAGGCCTAAAGTATATATCATATTATAAGATATTCGAGATATAACGCGCGCGCTGATTGGCTGGCTACCGTGTTTATATTAGCGGACAGAGACACGCTCGCGCGTATTATCATTTAAAAAATATTTAGAAACGCGCGCCGTTTTATATTCCTTAACTATACTCGTTTAGAGTGGATGCCAGTGGAAACCCGATAATAGAGCTTATATGATACAATATTTAAAATTCATTGAATGACTTTTACTTACCAAAACATAGGGACTATAACGGAGTTCGCAATCGGCATACGAATCGATCTAATTAAAGGAGACGAAGCAAAGACTGTTTTATCACTGAAATTACTATCGCTGAAATTGCTATCTCTGAAATAATTATCTCTGAAATTATTATCTCTGAGATTACTATCTCTGAGATTACTATCTCTGAAATTACTATCTCTGAAATAATTATCTCTGAAATTGTTAACTTTGAAGTCTGAAGACCCTTCTCAGCTGTCGTATCAACTCTGAAGTCTGACAATTTATAGGCTTCAAATCTGAAGTTTGAAATTATAAATCAGTGAATGACAGTGAAGTCATTGGAACCTGGATGTAACTATACAGCCGGATGATTTATATTCGACCAGAATTTGAAACTCGAAAAGTAAAAAGCTTGAGTTTTGCCAAATGTAAACATAAAGCAGCGCTGGTTGAAGTCCGAAGTCTGAAATATCCTAAATCTGAAGTCTGAAGTCTGAAGTCTGAAATGTCCCTCCAGGGCTTCCGTAAGTTGAAGCCTAAATTTCAGACTTCAGAGTTGAAACTTTAGAGTTGAAACTTCAGATTTCATATTATAATACGGTAAGTAAATTTCAAAATTGAAATTGCTTTGCTTGGGATTCCTGTGAAAAGCGCGTTGTCCAGGCTTTGCACTCGACTAGAAAGCTAAGATCTGTAGAACAGTTCAGTACCAGTTCAAATTGCTATCAATAAATTAGGATACAAATATACTCTGAGGAAGCACGGGTGGCGTAGCGGCGAGAGCGCTCGCGTCTAACCAAGGCGACCCAGATTAGGTATCGCTAGCCTGCGTAGCTTGGTCCTAGGGAAGGGGGGAGGGGAGAGGCTAAAGAAGGGAGAGCTCTCCCTTCTTCTCCTCTACCCCCCCCCCCCCCCCCCCCCCCCCCCCCCCCCCCCCCCACCCACCCCTAGAGCCGAGCTACGCAGGCTGAGGTATCGCATGTGAGTAGAGTTGTTTGTTGGTTCTCTCCTGTGCTTCGAGGGTTTTTCCCCGCGTTCTCCGGTCGTTGTGATTGTCCCACGCTGTGATGTAGCAGCCAAAGCTTAATAGATTTTTTTTAAATTAGCAAAAAAGCTGAGTCTAGAAAGAAATTATCTTTTCCTCAATTTTGTTAATGAGTTTTGTACTATGGCGAAGTCCACCCGAACTCCGAACAAGTCTGGAATATCCTAAAGTCTGAAGTCTGAAATGTCCCTCCCTTTTTTTTTTTTYCCTGTTTTTTTGGTTTTTCTTTTTTGTTTTTGTTTTGTTGCGTGAATCCTATTATTTAACAATACTCCTTTTTACAGTTTCATTCAGTGACCACGAATAATAGTTCCTAACCGAGGCTGGGGTTTCCGCGCATAGCAAAACTACAGTTTATCTCCAGCCTCAGAATGGAATTGTAAAAAGAGTATTATTCACCGAAGGCGAAGGAATATCGGGGAATAATAACCGAAACGAAGTTGAGGTTATTATTCCCGATATTTACTGAGCCTGAGGTGAATAATTGTTTTAGTATAAATACATAGGTGATTCTTTCAAAAAAAAAAAAAAAAAAAAAAATTTTTCTCCGGTAACAGCAACAAAGCGGCTGGCCGCCATTTTGGATTATCGTTGGAGGTGATTATCGTGTGATAATCTGAGTTTCTCTACCAATCAGCGCGCGAGATTTTACTGTAAAAAAATATAACCTAGAGTACTACCGCACGATATTTGTACTCCTTCAGACTGTCTCCTTGGGCGCTGATTGGCTGGCTAATATGTGTATATCCGGAGAACAGAAAAACGCTTTTGCAAAACAAAACTGTCGTCCCTTTTTTGAGTCAACCACTGAGATTATCTTGACTTGAAACTTGAAGGTAGGCCAATTCTATTATATTCTTTTAAAACCTATCTTGAGCTACAAATTCAAAGTCAAGTTTTTTGACTGCAGGATTCCTCTTTCGCTTATTAGAGCGAGAAACAGTTTTAATTGAAAGCTTTAATATAATTTGTTTTCATATCAATAAGGAACAACTTTCTTTAGTTTGCTTTCTTACTGTCTAACTCCTCATTTGATTTTTCCTCATTCTTGTTTTCTAAACTGATTTCCACGATTAGCTTGAAAAATAACATCCCTTAATCTCAACATGTTTCCAGCTGGGTCTTCCTGATAATCATCTAATATAATAGACCCTTTCACGGTTTCCGACGCCATATTGCTTGGGGGGATGGAGCCAGCATAACACTGGTTCTCAGAGAGACGGAGGCTTTGGGGTTCACGAGTTTTGCCAGTAAGACTCCATCATGCTGGTTCAATTTGACCGTTAAAAAATCTTGCCTCGACAAGAATGACTCAATCGGCTCTAAAACGTCACAAAACATTGAACAGAGGATTCTCCATCTACAGACAAAGTTTGGTCTCGAAAATTTACCTCAGAATGGATATATAACGAAAAACGTATCTCTTTCCCCGTCGCTTCTTAGTAAACTTGCCCCCCGAGGAATATGGCGTCGGAAATCGTGAAAGGGTCTATTGTGATTCCTTTTTGTGAGTGTTGGGATTTTTTTCCAATTCCCTACCTACGCTAGCGCTTTGCAAATATATAAAATCATCAGCTAGTCCATCACAAAGAAGACTACTTCTAATCCATAGTCCTATGAAAAACACTTTGTCAAATTGTTTTCCAGAACTAAATAATAAGCTGAATTAAATTCAAATCTTTTCGTCAAATTAGACATTCCCTTCCTTGTTTACTCTTAGGATTATATTATACTACTTATTATACTTCTTTTCTATATCACTCGATCTATATATATACCAAATGCAATATTTAGGCAGAGTCGAATTGAGTTATTCGTGGCTTAGTCAGATTTTTTTTCCTTTCTTTTTTTTTTTCTTTTTCGTCAGGTCTCAAAATAGAAACTCTGATTCAAAGGCATTGGCTTTACAATAATATTTCATCACAAAGAAACCCATTCCTAATTTCCTAATAATCGCGTGCGGAGCGCTAAAGCTAGCCTAGTACGGTAATTTGAGTTTGTTCGATTTGAGGACTACTCGCTTTCCATCGACCTTGGACAAACAAACAAACATCTTTATTTGGCACTAATTGGATTGATATACAATAAAATTTATAAAATAATAATGCACAAATCGATGGGCGCCAGCTATTTAGAAATAGCAAAGCTAGTCAAGCTAAATGGCTGCGTCAAACGGAAAATTATAGAAGGAAATGTATAGAGAAATATATGTAATTGCAACAACAGAAAACATGGATTTACCAAGACAAGCTGCCAGGAAGGAAAGACACACACCCACACACACACACACGAAAAGGATGGAGTGATAAAGGCACACACACAAGGGGAAGAACTATTAAAAAAGAATATAGATGAGAGAGAAAGTTGATTCAATTCGATATGTGGGAAACGATAACTAATTATTGTATTTTTCCGAAAGTGACTTAAATAGAAGGTTCTTGAAACGGGAGCGGGACTTTGATTTATATACATCCTAGATGAATGGTCTTTTTCTTTTTTCTTTTTTTCTTTTTAATGAAAGGCAGACGCTAAAAACTTTACTTATTCTAGCTTCCCAGAGGCGCAGTAAACATGACCCGCAAAAGTCACGAAAACGATAAACTAATTATTGATGGGCCAAAAGTATTAATGAATTTTTTAAAAAAATTTCTAATGAATTTTGAAGTCATATAGCTTTGTGGACTATACGGAGGATATGATCAGGGGGGAAATCATTACGAAGTTTGCAAAGGGCCAAGCTTTTATTTATTTTTTGCTTTATTTTATTATTTTTTTGCCAATTTTAGATTGACAAATTTTAGATAGACTCTCGAGGATCAAATAATTAAGTCTGTTAATTTTGTCCATTGATGGTGTTTACATTTCAATACAAATCCTATTAAGCAATAAACAGTAGAAATTACCATCTATTCGTTTATGTTGACATGTAGTATTCACGTCAATACGAGCTAGAGATAATAACTATATATTAAAGTTTATGTTGTTAACTTTTTTCGCGGTTAATGTTCATCACGTAGTTTACGATCAAGTTTAAGTAGAATCACCATATACTCAAGATCAAAATATCTCACTCGTTCAAATATGTATACCTTTTATCTTCATTAGTAGTATACTTTTGACAAATTTATATTTCCATTAGCAGTAGCCACATTCACAGTTGGGTGCCTATCTTATTCTGGTGTCGACTAAAGGGCCATGGTTTTTTTTAAAGCCATGTTTTTCCCAGAAAGATCTGCAGCCATATCCCCTTCATTAAAAACGCAGAGTCCTTTTAATTGATAAACAGTTTCAGACAAAAGAAATTAATATCTTTATCTTATGAAAGTAGTGTGAATATCACTTGAACTCTAGACACTCGTGACAAGCCTCTTTCATCAAAAGCGTGTGGTATGATGTGTTTATCAATACTTCTTAGCTTTATCTCGAGCAGTGGTATTTCCTACACTAATCCATCCATACATACATTACATCCATCCCTTTCCATAAATATGTTCACACAACCAACCATCCAGCAGCCCAATACCAATACATAAAACCAATCGTCTTCCATGCTAATGAGGAAGGACGAAAACCAGTAAAACCCAAATTAAAACCAGCACTATCAGCTGAAAGTTTGGCGCTTGAGCGTGGATCGAACCAGTGACACTACATTGAAGCTGCAACACCATATATAGTAAAAATACACAGGTGATTATTGAAAATCTATCACACAGTAATCACCTCCAGCGATAATCCAAAATGGCGGCCAGCCGCTTTGTTGCTGTTACCGGAGAGAAGTAATGAAAGAAAATGCTGTCCCCAAAAGGACTAAAAAGGCTAACAAATTTGCACTTACTTTGTTCAAAGGGAAAAAAGGACTTAAAACAATTAAACAAGCTCAAACAAAATGTTTTGATTCGCAAAGTCGGAGTTCGCCTGTGTTGTAATTGAAAGCCGCGTTTGTCACTTCAATTAAAAATTTTCTCAATTTTAAATGTGTCTTTTATCTTCTTTTCCCCCCTCTTTTTGAAGACTCGCGTCTCGGTAAACATTCCCCGATATTCACTTCGCCTTCGGCAAATAATTCATTGTTAAACAGCATTTAAGGAACCCCACCCCCCGCCCTAATCCTAGATCTGTCTCTGCTTAAAACGTTTGAAGTCAATTTTGTAGAAATAAAATAAATTAATTACCTTGTATTTATTTACGGAGCAAATCTTATTATCGATGTAAATAGAAAATGTCAAAATCTGGTGCTTCTATATTCAATATCTTAGCCATTTTCAAAGAAAATGTATTTCTTTGAATCCTTTTGACTTTTGTTTTTACACGACGAAAGCTAAAACGATTAAGGTTAGCAGTTATACCTGATTTAATCCAATATTAACCATAGAGTCCCTCTCGGAATCTAAGAAATGTTAATAGGAGATCGATCCATAGCTTTTGTTCGCGCGCATGGATAGCTTTTTAGTAAGTGCTCATTTATATTATACTGGTTGTGCCTTAGCTTATTCATTATTTCTCCACAGGTATTTGCGTATGATTTAAATTTTATATTGACCAGTAGACCTCCCAAGCAGCACGAAATAAAAACACTGTCTCGCTTAAAAGCGCCGTTGCAATTAAGATTTTGTTCAGACACCTGTAGGCCTAAGATGGCTTGATAGGAAAAGCGGCCGCCCATTTGAGCATAATACTCAAAACGTCAAATTGACCCAATCAGACCTAAAAAAGCTTTCAAAAGCTCATGAAGTGAACTATATCTTTCTTCATCACTTTCTTTCTTGATAAACTCATATAACCCAAGAGTTATTTTCGGATTAAAACAATTAAGAATATCATTACAGACTAGAAATATCAACTCAACTTCAAAAACAGAGTAAATATACGGACTTTCAATCAAAGGATAGAGAGAGGACTTCATAGTTTTACAAGATGGATGTGTCGAACTTCAACCAGTCATCCAACACTACTTCTTGTCCGGCAGAAATCCTTTCCTTGACTGCTGTTAAGACAGTCAGTAGTCTTAACATCTTATTTGCCGTTCTTTCAGTCGGTGGAAATTCCTTGGTCTTGATTGCCTTGTGGCGAACACCTTCGATGCATAACACATCAAACGTATTTGTTGCGTCTTTGGCCTTTGCAGATCTCATTGTTGGATCTCTCGCCAATCCATTATATGTTTTCCTGAGTTTAATGAAAAGTCTTCGAGATGTTCGAGCCATCAAGAATGCCGAGACGTTTGTATGGCTTTTGACTGTAACTGCTACTACTTACAATCTATGTGCTGTGTCTATCGACAGGTATGTTTTATGCTCTAGAAAAAAAATTAAGATAAGAGATATTTAATATTATATACGTCCCTCAACCATATTTTACATCCTCCTTTCTTGGAGTACAGAATTATTACTAGTTTTAATCTTTCCTTTTGTTTTGTTTTCATGTTCATATTTCCATGTTCTAATCTCATTTCTTTTCTTTTTCTTTTTCTTTCGTAAATAAGAACAAGAAAAATACCTTCTACACGAAAGAATAAGCCACCAAAAACAATGAAAATAAAATTGGAAAAAGGTGAGAGTGGTTCGTAAAAAAAAAAAAAAAAAAAAATCAGGGAAGAAAAGAAAAAAGAGCGGAAATTACACAATGACCGAAAGAGGAAGGAAAAGCCAGGTAATAAAAAGGAATAAAAGTGACAGAGAGTTGATTTAATCTGCGTTTAATCTTTTCCCCTTTTTGGTTGGTCTTAAGCACTTAAAGCACATCTGCATTGTATATTAGATTGATCAGATAAATTTTAATGGAACCGATTGAGGTATCAGGATATCTTTTGCCGTACCACTTAAGCGCAAGCCGAATTTCGCGCTGCCTTTTCAGTTGAATATTTTTCTTTTTAAAAAAAAAACAATTAAACAAAATCTTCAAATTGTTATTTAGAATTGACTAGTTCAAAACACAAATGACATTCTACCTCAAGACTTTGACAACTTCCCGCAACGAAAACAGGAAAAAAGGGATTGCGACTTACGCTTTTGTCCATCATAAGCACATTAGCATATTACTCTGTTATAATAAACTTGAAAACAGTGTCTCAGATTTTTTGTATTGATATACTCTACATTTTACGTCAAGCGGAATTACCTGTTGTAGTATCTCCGAGTGTCGATGGATAACGATCGATGGTTATGAAATATGAATTTATAGTTCAGAATGTTTGAGTTTTCAATGGCGTTCAATGCAAAACAGACAATCACGAGCTTTTTTGAGTTAAACTCTTGACCATTTCAAAACTTCAAGTCACTGTTATTTAGATTGCGATGCAAAGTTTCAGTTCTATTCATATCCGATGAGTAACCTGTATCTATAAAACTTTTTTGCGTCGTAAAGAAGCTATATCACTTAGTAACAATATTTTTAAAGTTATAAGTTTTAAGTTAAAATCCTCAACTAAAACTACTCTTCCAGTAGTTAGTTCCAGAACCAAAATCCTATGCACAACGAGGTCGTTCAAAACCTGTCTTTTTTGAATTCAAAAAAGCGATTGTGACTTTTAATACTCCATTTTACAGTTCCGTTCAGTGACCACGAATAATTGTTCCAAGCTGAGGCTGGAGGTGCCGCGCATGATAAAAAGTATAGTTTTGCTATGCGCGGAAACACCAGCCTCAGCTCGACTTGGAACTATTATTCGTGGTCACTGAACGGAAGTGTAAAATGAGTATTAGAGACTGTACTGTCGCACTTTGTAATACCTGTCGAAATTTGTAATAACTTTGTCGAACGTTGTAATAACTGTTGCACTTTTTAATAAACCCTGTCTCACTTTGTAATAAAAAAGCTGTCGCTATGGTATCATTACAAAGTGCGACAGCTTTTTCTTATTACAAAGTGCGACAGCAGTTATATTTCAAAATGCGACAGCTTTTTTATTACAAAGTGCAACAGTTATTACAACGCGTACGTGCGACAAAGTTATTACAAAGTGCGACAGTTACTCATTACAAAGTGCGACAAAGTTATTACAAATTGCGACAGGTATTAAAAAGTGCGACAGTACAGAGACCTTGAGCGTCAGGTTTGTTAGAGATCAGGCTCAGAAACACGTCCGCGCAAACTACGGAGAAACACTCAGCATCAATAAAATCCAACTGGCGGTTCTTCCAGCAACAACTTCGTTGACGGTCGAAACAACCTGACGACGAACTGCAGTTTGAGGTTTGCGGTACCTAGCAAAATCGTCGTGCTAAAGGTCTCTATTAAATATTAAACCGCAAGACAGAATAATCAAAGAGTCAAAATCCATAGGCACGTACACGATGAATGCGAGAGGTTTTAAGTTTACACATACTGATCTTAATACAAATAAATAGATGCAAACCATTTCGAATAAGCAAATCAACTTTTGTTTTTCAAAACTGGACCTTTTCTTTACTAGTGGTCAATCAATCACTAATAAACACTAGTAGCTCTGGCCAATCAGAGCGCAGTAGAACAATAGTAGTAGGTTTAGATTGATAATAACTGTTTTGACTTTCAGGTTTATTGCAGTGACCAAACCCCTTAGGTACCATCAGCTTGTCACAATCCCTCGGTGTTTGAAAGCCATTGGACTAACATGGATCTTCGCTATTATTTTTGCCTCGGCAAGTTTCTTCGTTCCGCTGAGTGATATTGCTAGCATTTGGATCACGGGCTCCGTTACGACTGTTTTTGTTCCTCTAGTGATTATTTCGTATTGTTACTTCAAAATATGGAGAGCTGTACAGCATCAAGTGAATATGATAAACGCTGTAGACAATTCTGGAGACTCACAGGTATGCAATGATATGCAGTCATATTTTCCGAGATGCGCAAGCGCTGTCTAAGGTATCGCATGCACAGATTCGAAAACGAGGCATTTCCGGGCAAGATTTTACGCGCACTATGAAAACACATACAAAACTTTGAAATTACGCTAATAAAGGAAAAGTTTATTTTAGTTCGGAAGAAGGATTATGTCTTTTTGAAAAAATAAGCTCACTTCAGAAAAAATATATTCTTCAAACGTTTTAAAAACCGGTTCCGAAGGTTTCTTCAGTATGGGCACAGCTCGAAAATACCTAATTTTTATGTAGCGCCCTTTATTGTTAGACCGAGCAACACGGCTGTTGTATTGTTGTTTATATCTGAAGACATTTTGACTCCTGCGGTTACGCCTTAATAATTAGGGATGACTTTTAAAGGAAGCCAGTTAAGAACCAGAGATGTGGTAAAAAAAGGCGATTATTCGAAGCAATTTTTCTCTGCAGCTTGTCTCGCAAAAGCGTTCGACACCAGTTGCAAGAGTGTTTACACGGTGCCACAGAGACGCAGTCGTTGCCAAAAGTAGAAACAAATTTTTCTTTTCGTAACGACTGCTGCCAATTGTCTCTCAATATTTTTTTTAAATTGCACTGTACGTTACACGCTACAACGCTCCAATGCAACTTGTGTCGCAACGTCGTCGCGGGACAAGTCGCAAAGAATATTGTTCCGTGTAATTGCGCCTTCAACGATAACAGATAAAATCAAAACTGCATAATAATCGTAAGAATTTGGAATTGCGTTTCAGGGAATCGCTCGTAACAGAGCCAAGAACAGGAAAGCTGCTTGGACTTTTGGTATAATTATTCTATTATTTGGCATTCTATTCCTACCGAGTTTGATAACGAACTTTATCGCCATTGAAGCGAAAACACAGTGCGATTTCTTTGAAGTCAATCGAATTTGGTTTTGGACGTCGGTTACTTCGTACTCTAGTTCCGCCATTAATCCATGGGTTTACACCATTCGAATGCAGGAATTCAGAGGAGCTTTTAAGAAGATTTTTAAAAGTTGAAAACAATGAGCTTTTATTAAATTAGTAACTCGCAGAAAAAATAATCACTATATATGTCGAAAGAGCATGTTAAGGTCAGTAACTGTCAAAGTAATAGATAAACTTGGAAGATATGAATTTTGAAAATTGTTAATTTTGTAAGAACACTTTTGCTGGAGGCAAGAAATGCACCCAACAAGAGTTTTCATTAAAAAAATGTCGATATTCTTAGAATTGATATATCTTCGCGATCATTTGAGCCTACCTTCGCCAAACTTCACCATATTTGAACATACTGACGTTTCGGACGCCAGTCCTTTCATCTTTTCACGGTGTATAATTTACCTTTATATCATTACTGTTTCATTAGAAACACCAACGCAGCTCACACTAGTTTTTAGCTAGTTATATCTCATATATTTGAACATGCTCTTTCCTTACATGGTAATTAATTTTCTGTCATGTGAATTTTGGAATTCAGTTATAAAAGTTCATTTGGGTTCTGGAGCCGCCTCGGGCTTTTAATATACACTGTACGAAGATCATTCAATGATTTTTTTTTTTTTGCTTTACAATTTTACCAACATGGCGACCACGTCTTGTATGTAATCAAGAGACCGCCCTAGTTATCGAAAGACCAGCCCTTTACATATCGAGTGAAAAACTTGTATATCATGTAACCTATTGATGGTTTCCAACCATTCCCAAGAGAATTAAATAACAAAAGACACGGCGACCATGTTGTAGGATATAACAAAAGAATCATTGACAATTCTTTTGTTAAGTTCCTCCAATATGGCCGCCGTGAAAATCATCAATTTGACTAAAAGTGGATTACCGATCGTATGTTTGGCCGAGTGATAGAAAATGTTACAGGAAACCTCTGCTGAAGTAAGGTCGACCAACTCGCAAGGATTGCGGAATTTCCCAAGCAACTCGGATCGTCTAATAGCAAAATTACATGTATATGGAACATTGCGTAATATATACAATATGAGCGGGAGATCTGTATGAGGACTTAAAACATCGAGCTGCAAGCGAGCTGTTTTAAACCTCATCAAATCTCAAGCGAATATTATGTACTTATTGACTGAGTTAGGTCGGGCCGTACGGGAAAATATTTGCTCGAGGTGATGCTGTCTTTACAAATGACCGAGAGCCAAATATTTTCCCGTACGGCCCGACCTAACTCAGTCAATAAGTATTTCATCATACGACCCTAAATAAAAAAGATATTTTAAAAGTTGCAAATTATGTCAATACGGTCGCAGTTTTCGAGCAGGGCCGTACGGATTTGTACGGATTTGTACGGCCCTGCTCACGCCATTTTCCCGAAGGTTTTTTAAAGAGCGCGCGCCCGGGCAGACACGGGTCATATGATAATGTATATTACTTTGAAGATGTCTAGATTAATGTTTCTTTTTTAGAGCAAAAAAATTTTAACATTAAATGCAATTTGGCCGAGATATTTCAAAGTCAACATTAAGCAAACCAGAACGAATTCTGTATCAGGGTTTACAGATGCCTTCACGGTAGCGATTTGGTATTGTTCTAAGGTCATTAATTATGCATGATCTTTTAAAGTATGTGTAATCGTTGGTAAAGACGTCGAAGTGGTCACGGTACACGGTCCAGGGGGGTAGCAAAGGTAGGAGGGGGGAATCCCCCTCCTTCCAGCTACCACTATCGTAAACTGCAGTTGAAAAACAGAATAGCCAATGTGCACGAGCACGAATCTCTAGCGGTTAGTACATGCTTTTAAGTTTCATCGAAATTAGATTATCGTAATAACGTTCTATTCTCGACTTTCACATCCCCATAATCCTTTGCGTCTCTGGGGGGTAACCAGAGGGTAAAAACCAACTTATTTTGCTGAAGGCTGATCAGACAATGTTGA